AAAGAATATATGGGAGGGCAAACTTGAAGTGAGCAAGCTTGCTCAAGGTGGTCCCTCCTTGCCAGCCACACCCAAGGTGAGGGAGTTCCCCGCCTTATTTCAGTCCACAGACAATGAGATTCCTTAGTGCAGCTTGTGAGAATGCTCCCAGTGCAGGACGCATGGGGCCAGGGCCTCTGGGCAGCAAAAGAAATCTGAGCACGGAGTTGTGTCGAACATGGCATAAGTTTAAATATCCAGAGGATCTTTAAAAGGAACTTTTGATGCCCCACTTTTCAAGAGCCATGTCTTGTCAGTTCTGAAGCTCTTTTATTTACATTGCTTCAATAATGCTGAAGTGGCTTGGGTTTTGCTGCCAGCATCAAAATCCAACAGTAGAAAGAGAATTGCAGATTTTTTTTTCCCACAGTTAACATCTATTCTACGTACGTAAATTATACATTGGGGTGCCTGGGTGGCTCAACTAAGCGCCTGACTCTTGATTTCTGCTCAGGTCATGATCTAACAGTTGTGAGATTGAGCCCCGAGTTGGGCTCTGGGATGACAGCACAGAGCCTGCCTGGGATTCTCTCTCTCCCTCTCTCTGTGCCCCTCCCCCATGTGCACACACATGTGTGTGCTCTCAAAATAAATAAACTTAAAAAAAAAATAAATACATAAATTATACATCATAGACATTTTAGTGGAATGAGCCAGAATAATAGTGCAAATCCAGTCTGCCATGCCATGCATCTGAACATTTAATTAGTGTAGGCAGAGTTTTATATTAAGTAGGTTACCTCCTGAACTTTTTGGGTGGACAAAAGGAAGTTTCTAGACATGGGCCTTTGGCTAACATGGGGGAAGAAGGAGCATACCCTATATGAACATTATAATGAATCTGTGTGTGTGTGTGTGTGTGTGTGTGTGTGTACCTGCACATTCTGCAGAGGGACAAGAACTAGAGTCTTTAAACACATCATATGTGCAATCAAGCCCTTTCCTAAAAATAGTTCTCATTACAAAATGCTAGACTATGATGCTTTGCAACTATCTTCCTTCACTGGAGCTGAGAAGGGAAAAGACAGATACAGTTATTAAGGGTTACACAAAGCTTTCCTCTTTGTGGTATCCAAGTTTTCTGTATCTCTGGGGTCCAGGAGGTACAACACTAGGAATCTGACTTGGACTGAGAAAGTTTGTGAACACTGGAGAGAGAGCTGGACCCACACAAGTGTTTTGTTACACATACCTCACAGAGAAGCTTCAGTGGAAGATCCTAAAATATGCCTGACAAATAAAAGGATAGTGTGTGTAAGTGAGTATCAAACTCAGTATCAGGTAATATTTGAGATATGTAAATATCTTAAATGATGCTCTCTCTTTAGTTAATAAAAATATAACTTCCCTAAGTTCATTGTGGGTTTAATCTTCCTAATTTTCTCAAGCAATTTACATACTACAACAGGAAATTTTCTTATCACAGGACATTTTAGGAATGTATCCCTTGGGGAATTCTATTTGGAAAAAATAACAGAAGAGCTTTATCTTTCTATACATAATTTGTCTCCATGTATGTGACTTCTATGACAAAACGTTATACACTATTTACAGAATTTTAATTTCTTGTACTGTTGAGGGTTAAAAAGAAGTCACAGCTTCTTGGTTCCACAGCAGAGTTATGGCAGTGGCTCAATTTAAAAAAAATTTTTTCTAGTGTGGTCCTTGTCAGATTGTATGTCTCAAACCGATCATAACTTGTGGATGATACAGGTGTCTTCCCTTTCTAACCTAGGTGACTTCTGACAGCTAGTTACCGAAAGACATCACCATTTTACAACAGGAACTCAACACAGAAGTTATGATGGAAAGCCATTTTATTTTTCCCTAAACTTATTTAAAATAAAAGACTTGAATGGAAAATGTTTAGTACCGATATGTCACCCTGAATGCCAGCAATACCTTGACTTTTATACACACAGGAAGCCAGGTCAAAGTCCAGTCAGTGTACAGTTTTGCATGAACAAAATTTTCTGCCATTTTGCTTTAGCAAATAGCAACATAATTTAAAACGCTCATGTCTCCTCTGTGGCACCTAAAATCCAGTCCTATATTTATTAATACAGTTAGAAAAATAAAAGCCTTAAAAAATTCATGGTATGAGTTCACGGTGCTAATCACACAGTCTCCTCAAAAGTAAGATCATTTTTAAAACTCCTACATAACAACCTTCTGGTTTAATTTGAAAGGCTTAAGACTTGAAATCTAGTAAGACTGTTAAGTCAATGTACATATCAATTATTTGACTTAATTTTTACTTGCCCTGGGAGAGTTAATTCCCATTGTCCACTGAATGACTGCCTTTCAAATATTAATAAATATATTACACTATTTACAAGCATTCTTAACCACTCTGACATGGGTAGAAAGTTAGGCCGTGGGGAAGGAACCACCTCCCAGCAGGGCAAGCTCGTGAGGTCTGGGACAAAAGGACGGTGCTGGAGGATGCACCAAGGGCTGCTTCAGTGTGCGTGCGAGCTCTCAGACACACCAGGCTCCTTTTGAGACCAGCTAGCCAATAATTTGTTGTTGCTGGATCAGGTATAAATGCCCAGTGGCCGGAAACCAGGAAAAAAAAGGAACACTGTGACGGTATGTTATTTTAGTAGTTAAGAAGAGGGAGGCAGTCCTAATGTCAGACTAGGCTAAGGATGGTGCAACCATGCTCCACAAGCTGTTGGTGAATCACCCTCGGCAGATTACCTAACTTAGTCGAGGTGATGGGTACATGTCATGGGTAAGGAAAGGGTAAATGTAAGAAATTGTTTTGGCAACGAAAAGTGATGTTAATTCAACGTCTGCAAGTTTAACTGTGCCACATGCCCTCTTCTTACACTACTTTCTGCAAACTGTCTCAAGCAGACATACCATCCATTTGACAAACCTCGTTAATGCTGCTGAAGGATTTACATTCTAATGCTCTGGTAAGAGTGATCATGCCTAAATCAGCCCATACAGTATCATAAGCCTGAAGAGGTGAAGCCAAAGATTGAGAGAGGCTAGATATCTGCCTTGTGAATGTAAACGAAATTCTCATTTGGGGGGCTTAGTTTCTTATGTTTTAGTAACAGCAGTAAACTAGTCATTATTTTAAAAAGCACACTATCTTGGGTCATGTCTATATATGTATACACATACCGTTCCTTTTCCTGGTAGTCATTTAGAGGTCCAAGCCTGGGGCCCTCAAAGGGCATGGCTTCCACCAAACCTTCTGGGGTACAGAGTCCAAATAGTCCCTTGGAAAATGTTATAAATTAGATTTGCCCAATAGAATGTTTAAATCTCTTACACAAGAGTCTTTAAAATAATTTAAACACTTGCAAACTCAATAAGGGTTCTCTGGTGGCCCACTTTCACATGCAAACACAGACGAACTGTTAACATGCATTATTTTAGTCAATTGGTAAAGTTTATTTCGTTAAGTATAAGTAATTTTAAGCCATTTACTAAATTGTAAATTTCAATCCATTAAAAACTACTACCAGAGCAGTTCTGAGGTATTACTGTTAATCTAATATAGAAATGTTACTCTACTCTGCTGTGGTATGAAATGTGACTGCCATGCCTCTTATGTAATGGTGCTGTTGCAGTGCTGACTACAGGCGTGTCCTATAGCTTTCAGGAAATTATTGCGTATGTGCATTCACTGATTTTCCAAACATCAACGGCAATTTGGTCATTTCTAAGCATACTAAAATAATAAAGTACAGCTCCTGGAATGGGACAAACAAGCGGAGAAATTTCAGGTATATGATGCCATCCTCCAACCTACTTCATCAAAAACCCACCCTACTCACTCCAGTCACTTACAAGGAAAACTTGTGCAAAAAGCATCCAAAAAGCCTATTGGTGGGTTAATTTTCTTGTAATTTTAAAAGAACTAGACAATGTTTTTTCCCTTAAAATTCATTTATAAAAATAAATTAATTTCAGTTTGAGACCTTAGATACCAAATTGTGGCTTAATTTAGTCGTGATGGCTAAGACTATAAAGTTATGAAAAATGTAGCTGAAAACGGAAGAGCTCCAGCTCAGTCCCCGTGGCGTGGCAATAGCTGGCACCCTGTGCGGTCACAGCCCTCCCCATAGTTACCCAAAACACACTCAACTTCTTGACAGACTTTTGGCGTTCCTTTCTCCTGAAACTCCCACAAAACTTTAATTTTTAGACCTCTGTTGCAAAACTACAAGTAACCATAATACATTCAAGAAAGGGAATGAAAACCTGTCACCCACTCAGGAGACACTGATCCATTGCACTGGGGCAAACACAGCAGCTTGGAGGAAAACGGTCACCCACTTGGGTGTACGGCTTATCCAGATGTTTTGCACTAGAATGCAGGCGTGAAGTCCCTCGGAGTCTTTATCTCAGAGCAACAATAATTTAAAGTCAGTTTGACAGTATGAACAAACCCTTCCAGGTTTTGTGCCATGAGATGATGAGCAGCCTGGCCCCGACTCCAGGTACCTGGTGTGTGGCGGGGCCTGGCCACTATGTACATTAGATAGGAACACTGTCAGGTGGAAATGCCAATATGACTTACTGCTTAGGACTGTGCTGACATCGATGCTTTTGTGAGGCTGATTTCCCACGTGAGAAGCTTTTTGCCTTAGTCAGGAAATTATCTGAGGGAACAGTAAGGAACTGAACTAAGGAAAAAGTTTCTGGCCTCCAAATCCACACACACACACACACACACACACACACACACACACACACACACAAGCAAGTTTCAAACTATTGTTATCTCTCAGTGCAAAGGAGCAATCGGCTGACCTGTCACATACCATCAATCGATATGAACACAGCATTCAGTCTGTGGAACAACGTGACGCAGCAAAAACCTGATCTAATGCAAATTCAAGCCTATTAACTAAGACCGCAGCAAGGAGACAGTGCAGCTCAGTGTTTCTCCCGCGCTAGTGCCGACTCTGAACACAAAGCAACCGAAAGGCACAGGCTCAGATTTCATTGATAGTCCTCTCTGAAGGGCAGTATTCCGAGGGGCCCGGTGAGGACATATAGAAAGACTGTGTTTTCCTTTTTAATCGTGCTCTTTTGTTGGCCAACACCAGGCTGCGCCGGCTCGAACTGATGATTTCCGAAATGAACTTTTTGCAGTCTACGCACACCTCCATAGTACTCCAGTCCTCCATCAACTCTTTGGGAAACTGTAGTTCTTCATCTGATTTGTCCACAGACTTAGATTTTGAGGAGAACCTGGAACAAAACAAAATGTTCTGAATCCAGTATCATTACTCACAGTTCTCTTGCAATACTGAGCAACTAGGTGCAAAAAAGGTAAATTTGCTGCCAAAACATTTTACTGAATGGGTGAGTCACCTCATGTCCTTCCAAAGGAAGAATTTCTAATTGGGGATAAAATTCAAAATATTTTTTTAAAAAAGAAACCAGGAAACATGCTTTATTAAGAAATAATAATACTGAAAACTCTTAGTGTCCCTTCTAGAATTTTTGGAAAAAAAAGACATTTAGAGTATTCACCTGATTAACATACATGACGTCTAGTGGACTTTAACAATGAAAATGAAACAAAGTACATGTTGCTAACGTCCTCTGGGTGATTCAGAAGGAACTTCAAGTTCTTTCTCCAGTGGCCCTGTGTCAGGGTTGATGAACATTAGTTAACTGTAGATGGTGGGGCAGATTACAGTAAGCTGAGGTAAATATGTCTTACCCTGAAAAGTTATCTAGGGACCAGCTTTCTCAACATTTTTGCGTTTCTCAAATACACCTTCCCCTCCCTAATAATTCTCTAATTCTCTACATTTGGATGACTAATTATTTGGATTCCAGAGAGCTGGAGTTCACCAGACCTCATCACAGTAATTGTTCTGGGCAATTTTTTGAAATAACTAGGAATCATCTACTCGTTTACTACTTTAGTTAAACCAAACAGGAACCTAGGTGTGGAGTATGTACAGAAAGGAACAACAACGTGTCCCGTCGCCTTGAGCTCACAGGTGATGATCCACAGTTGGAGGCCACCACAGAGCAGCAGTGTCTCAGGGCAGAGTGGGCAGCACAGGGGCAGCAGTGCCGGGCACAAGTTACCTGCTGGGCTCACAGCTTCCTTGCCTTGCCGCCCACATCTGTGGTGTGCAGGAGTGGGGCTGCCCAGCGCTCAGCACCTCCCTGACGGGGGGCAGCTGGTGCATAAAACCCCAACCTTTTTGGCCTGTGAGTATGTGAGTACGTGAGCGGAGCTGGCCTGATCTCCATCCTTTCTCAAGGACCAACACTAACCTTACCCTGCATTAAACGCAAAGGGACTGATATTCAGGTTTTTTTTTTAATTGCCATAAAGCTCTTGGCATAAAGCTTTATTTCTGCCTTATTTACAATAGGAAGATAAACCAAAGTTCTTGCAGACCACTGGAAACCAAGACCTAAACAGATTTGCTTTCAAAACTAAGGAGGAAAGAAGACAACTTCAGGTGCAGGTTTTCAACTGCACTGAAAACAAGGTCAGTTTTACTTTCCAACGTTTATTTATTTTTGGGACAGAGAGAGACAGAGCATGAACGGAGGAGGGGCAGAGAGAGAGGGAGACACAGAATCGGAAACAGGCTCCAGGCTCTGAGCCATCAGCCCAGAGCCCGACGCGGGGCTCGAACTCACAGACCGCGAGATCGTGACCTGGCTGAAGTCGGACGCTTAACCAACTGCGCCACCCAGGCGCCCCTCAAGGTCAGTTTTAAAGATGACTTTTAGAGAACACACAAAAGTAATTACCTCTAAAATAGAAAAAAAATGATGACATTCAAGTAGCTAGCTTCAAGATGCTTCAAGTAGCTAGCTATTATCCCTTGACAAGTTACCTTTGGGAAATTTTGAAGATTTGTGCGCAAGTCAAGACTATATTAAAACCAACCACCCAACCTAAAGCACCCTGAGCCCAAACCCTACTTTGTCACTGGTTCTCAAAAGGAACGTTCTTCCTTTACAGAGTAAAGTCTCAGGTGTCTTACTCACCTGGCAATGCTCCGGAGTGGGCGATGGTGGCCAGTGGGGGTTTTTTCTGGCCTCATGCAACTTTCCCCTCTTTGCAAGGTAGAAGGTCCCAATGAAAAGATGGGAAGAGTGGAGTATGGTTTAGAGGGCAGCCGCATCTATTATCCCAAATGAAACCAGAGTGAGCAGTACTGTTAAAGAAGTAGACTCCTTAAAATTAACACAAGTTATAATTTTGCCAAGCTTAGCTTACCTTTTTGCAACACTGTGAACACACGGGCCTGTACACAAAATCAGAAGTGTTACTCAGCATTGACGTGATGAGACTGGAGAGTGAGAGAAGTCAATGGCTGTGCGGTTGTGAATTTCTATAACAAACTGCAAAAACTCTCTTGTTCTTCCACCAGAATGTAACGGACTGATACAACCGTGGATTGCCAAGGAGACAATCTGTGAAAGTGAACTCTTACACTGTTTCCTGGAAAAGGATCAACTCTCATCTGTCTGGGATTTTCTTACTTGTCTATCTAGGGAAGGATCACGTGACAATCACATCTACTTTTTGTGTTTAAACAAGACATATGATTATTAGGATCACCTTAGTTATGTAAAAGAAGTACATGCGGAGAAACATTTTCCAGCTATAACGCTAAGTAACTGTTTGCTCTACTCTTTGAAGAAATCAGTATTACTAACCCACAAGCACAATACGATGTGATAACAAATTGGGGTAATTTCTAATACTGTTCCTGTGTGGAAAAATGACTAAACAGTGAATGTAAGTAGTATTTATTTACATCAATTACAAAAAACCTTACCTCTTACAGAACTGACAGGTATAAGACCAGGTGAAGAAGGAAAATCTCCTGGTTCGGCAACAAAAGCAGAGCTAAAAATACAAATTTAAAGGGAGAGAAGAGCATTGCCAACAGTTAATTTCCTAATTTACATGTCTAAATATACTTTTACATATTAGGGACCTTTAGCAGACAGAAGGAAAAAGAGAATTCAGAAACCCTGTTTTCAAGTTTGGCTCTGTAAGAATTATAATTTGGCTATTTACTTATAATTCCACTTTTAAAAGGTAATAAAAGGCTATAGCTCTCAGAGGCTCATCATCATGGAATCAATCTGAAGAAGGTTCTGAAACAGTCTCTTCCATTTTTCAGATGTATTTTCTTTATAAATCCTTTAAAAGTATAACAACTAAATGCAGACATGATTTTATGAAGGCATGCCACTATTTATTATGGTTGTTTTAAGTCTTCCAAAGTTTTTGATTTCTCAGAGAGAAACAAAAATACTCTCTTTTGTAAGCAAAGCAGAATAGGAACTGTGTAGTATAGGGTAAGCCTCTTACCTCCTGAAATCCCCTAAAAGTCCTGTACCATCTGGCTGCCAGCAGACCGCTCCCTCAGGAGACCAGGCCTGGGACTCACCATTCCTTTAACCCTACTTATCAACCAACTTTAAACAGCTCTACCTTTCCTTTTTTCAGGGCGGTGTAGACATCTTTATACTGTTGGTATTTTTCCAGCTCTGCCTTCACCAGGACCTGACGAATATGCATCACTTCCTCCACAGTAAGAGCTAGGCATTCCACTGGATAGCAGAATTCCTCCTGAAATTCAAAATTCCACATGAATAAGAAACTCCCACCCCCTTTTCTGGCACTGCACAGTTTCCCTTCAGATCAGACACCTGGTTAGTAGCTCCAGAGAAGAAAAGAGGTTTCCCAATGAACACTGGAACAGAGCTGGCTCACTCTGGGGACCACATAATTTCTAATTACACTAAGACAACAGATGGCAGAAAACTTCTGGGGACCATGTCAAACATTATAACCTATAGAAATTTCCAGGAAAGGAAAGTTCCTCACATTTGAGTACATATTTTGCCTCAAGTTTCTATTTCATTAAGCAGAGCTATGTATCTGTGTAATGAAATCTTGAAAGAACATTTTCTTGTTCTAAAACAAATTGACATCTGTTTTCTCCTACAATTCTGCAAAGACATTGCTTCCTGTTATTTGTATACTATATGCTAATACTTACATAACAAATCTACAACATTGGTACTATTTAGAAAACTGGTTTGTGGTACCCAGAATAGCCAAAAGGAGGTGGTTAGTAATTTATACTGAGAAGCATTATTTAGTGGTAAGTTACATCAGCACATTGAGAAAAATCCTAATGGTAGGAGCAGAACTGAAACATGTAACTACTGGTGCAGTTTCCAGCCAAAAAGCAACCTCTACAGGCTGCACCACGGTTCTCTAGATTTCTGTTATTACTTTTAAACAACTGCTGAATGTACAATCAGCACTGGAAAGATGTGGAGAAAATCTTAAGAATTTCACAATAAATATTTATGCCGGCTGTCTTATGGTAATGGCTTCCCTAAAAACAGCTGAGGAAGATGTTGATGTAACTGATCCCACTGAATAAAGAGCCTCACCCCCATCTGCTCCCCATCCGGCCCTGTGTTTGATTGGTGGATCTAATAGAAAGACAGAACGGTCTTGTGCATTCTCACCCTGCCAGGCTTCACAGGGGCCATTGTGGTGTAGGGACACTGAGACTTAATGTTCTCAGTGCAAACACATTATAATTCACTCCCACACACACACAATAGCATTGCTCACAGGCATTCTGGAATCAAACAAGCCAAATGAGAAAGCACATGACTATGAATGCAGTCAGTTTATGGAGTTTTAACATTCAGTTCTTTCAATCAGAAAAAACAAAAACAAATCTAGGTTGCAAACTTGATAAACATTAGCATTTACTAAAAAAAAAGTAGTTTGAAGAACTGCTTCTTACTAACAATCAATACAAAATCACGTCTGGTCAGGCTAACTTTAAATTTGCTTAAAAATGTTTTGGAAAAAAATCCTGCAATTGAATTTTTAAGAGGAATGTTTAAGAGGATACTAAGCTGTATCCAGAGGGTGGGAAGGTAGTCTGTTCAGGAAGACTGTATCATTTGCTAGTCTAAAATATTTTTTAAAAAATCACCATCACATAATTTTCTCTTTCGATGGGAAAAGTTTTCAAACATAACAGGATTAAATTGGTGTCCAATATCCACTCAGTTTTCTTCCACCCTGAGAAAACAGCTTAGTGTCAAGTAGGAACAATGCACTGCCTGTGTGAAGGTTAGGCCACTACAATTCTGCAGGAGATAGGTATTGTCGGCTGCACATGTCTGAATGATGGCTTTTCTCAGCTTTTAACATATTTCATAAGAAGTTTCCTATGGTCTTTTTTATTCATTTGCTGAGTATGATTTTTGTGCATTTTCTGATAGTTAACCATGTAACAAAACTGCTGAGGTGGAACAAAATAATGTATGAATCTAGTAACTAATCAGAGAATCAATACCTGAGATTTGTTGCTATGGGAAGATGGCAAATAGTGCCAATTTAATTAACAACTGGGATGCCTGGGACGGTAAACATTTCCGGTAGATGGGAATCCTTTTTATTTGCAGGGAGATCCTAACACACATAATAGACCTGACAGGCTCTACTTCCCTCTTCTCAGTCTTAAATCACAAAAGGGCTTAGTCAAGCATACTTTCAACTTACTGCTTTGAACCATATGCAAATCCAGTACTTCGTAAGACATAATAAGAAACTGTATTTTGTGGGTGTTCTTGTTCTTTCTCTAACTTTCAGGCAGATTACTGTTTAGTAAAATAATTTCCATCAGGTCAAATGCTAATGTTTTAATTCTGGTGCTTTCCCAAGGACAACAAAACTTTAATGCAACATGAAAGAAAATAATAAACAGTTACTAGAATAGTTTTCATTATTTTTTTTCAATTGGCAAAAAAATTAAACATCCCCAATGCCAAATTAAGCCTTAACCTTAACAGATCTTGCGGAGATATTAAAGCTCCAAAATGTGAGGAGCATTTGGGGCTTTAACAGTGACTGAGAGCCCTCGGTCATTCCTCCACATGCCCAGAGCTCATTGTCACAGCCAGATATGGGACTCTAATATCCTCTTGCTTCTCTGTGCCTCAATCTCACTCCTAAATTTAGGAAAGGGTAGCTAAATCTGAAAGAGTTTTAATAAAGATTACAATATGCTATAGGGGGAGATGAGCTTTTAGAACTTACTTTTGATGTATGTCACTAAAATTGCTGAGTTTGTGTTGAATATTCTGATTACATTTACCATCCAGAAGGGTCAGAGTTAGGGAGCACAGAAATTAGAGAACATAATGTATACTCTGGTTACTGAGCCACAGAAAGAATGGGAATAGTTATATTTTATATAGTATTCTTAATTAGCAAAAACTTTGTAAGTAGCAGATATTTGAAAATTATCCAAAATGACCATTGCTGTTTTGAGTTTTTAATAAATCAAAGGCAGATTTAAATTAAAATAGCACCTATTAAGTTTAATTACTCTTCTCTTTTTTCAGGTTCAATTTTAAAAGTCAAAGTGAACTGTTTGCCTACAGTGATATGTAGACATAGTATACAGATATCTCTGTCTGGGGAGTATTGATAATAAAAATAAAAATGTCAAACAAAAATAATATAAAAACAGGGAGGGGGACAAAACAGAAGAGACTCATAAATATGGAGAACAAACTGAGGGTTATAGGAGAGGTTGTAGGAAGGGGGATGGGCTAAATGGGTAAGGGGCATTAAGGATCTACTCCTGAAATCATTGTTGCACTATATGCTAACTAATTTGGATGTAAATTAAAAAAAAAACAAAAAATAAAACAAGTTAAAAAAATGTATAAAAATGTCAGCAGATCTCCAGTAATAGCAGCAGTAAGAGTGACAGGAGTTAAAATGCCATCCCTGCACCTGACCATGTACTGCCCAAAGGGCCAAGATCTAAAATGGAAAAAGAATAGAGATCTAGCCTCTATTTCATGACAAATAAGAAGAGAAAGGAATTTGTTGTATTTCATTTACATTCAGAGTCTCTTTTCCAAACCAAGATGAGTAATAAAGAATAACAAAGAAACCAGCTGCTGGTTCATTTGTCAAGGATATGTTTAGTAAATAAAGGACCTCACAGAGCCAGGACCCTATATGAAGCAGAACAGACCAGGCAGCTGCAAACACTAGTCAGCAGCACATGCTACTCTGGGGGCAGGGGAAGCTTGGGCATAGTTTGAGGGCTTTTTATTTCACTGGAGTCTGGAAAGTATTGGATTTTCTTTAAAAAATAATTCTGTATGAAAATCTAAAAAATAATAAAATGCATACTTATTTAAAATATTTAAAATAACCGCATCAATAAAAGGAAAACTTAACTTCTAGGAGAAGTGGGTTGTCCTAAACACCATGCCACACTCTGACGAACACAATGCAGCTGTATGAAAGGTGTGGGGAAGAAGGTTCTTGGAGCCCAGGGCAGGCATGGGCTACAGGTGCACAGCCCCTCTGAGCTCATGGCGGGGTGTGTGGGAAACGAGAAATGACATGGTTTCATGGGTTGTGGGGGAGTCCCCTGTGGCTATATGGCCTGGCAGGCGGTTGCTCTGCCAGCTGAATGAGGGAGCAAATGCCGATCCGATGGCAGGAAGGCCCTGGGAGGCAAGCACCCACAGGCTATCTGAGTGCCCCTGCACATGGAGAGGAGACGGCATTCTTCCTGCCATATAACTGGGTCACTCACAGGTCCCTCTAATCCGATGCTGCATTTTGAGTTTGTTGTCCTTTCAAGGTCATTTTCCTCTCAACTGAGATCATGGTGTAATCTATGCATCCTACAAAAGACTGGAATCAATGATCAGAAGCAAAGTGCCCATCTAAGCTGTTAATTGTTCAGAGTGCAGTAGCTGAGGTATCACTGTCAAAGAGATAGAGTAAAATAATCCCCAGAACCAGCAGAAAGAGGCCAACCTTTGAGGATTTCCACCTGCTGGTAAAAGCTCTCTCACATAGATAATACATAGCCCCTGCTACCCCAAACATGGCTGCTTCAAAAGGATGAGAGCTGAGCAGAGAAGCTGTTTGTATGGTAGAAAAAAGTGGTCGGAAAGGCGTCCTTGGCCATACACTGGTTATCCTAGGAACCTGAACAACAGATAAGGGAAAAAGAAAATGGCAGGGGGAAAGAAAAGGAGAAAATAATGCTGAACATGAGTGACCTAAAAATAGTGGTTACAGAGCATGAAAGAAAAACAAAACAAAACAAAAACACCACAGAGGATGTTAACAGTAGATTCCACATGTGTGTGTCCACACCAACATCTGCTTCCATATGTGCAAATTAGTAATCATACCATGAAGTCATTCCTAGGGAGTCTCAGAATTCACAAACCAGAGACTTAAGATGTTTCTAACTTAGTGGCCCCCTGAACAGGGCTCACCAGGAGGCAGGACAGAGGCAACCACCTCTGGGGGCAGTGGGGAGCATGCAGCACACTGGGGAAGGTACTGAAAGACAAGTCTCCTTTTACTTAGATGGGCCATCGTCCTCAATCATTTGACCAAGTGATGAAAAGAAAATTACATTTTAAACATCCTAAGGAAACAGAGGGAGATACAATAAAAATAAAAATGAATACCAACAAAGACATTTCTGCCATTTTCAGTGTAAGGATTATAAATACAAAAGGATTCCTTGTTTTAATATAGCTAAAGTTTAAATTAATGGTCATACTTTTAAAGTACTTACCAAGCTAGACAGCACTACCACAAGACAAGTGTGATTATGGATTTCTCAAGATAAGCTATTAATGAGACCAGTCACTACTCTGACTGGAGGTTACTTTGTCTCAGCTCACACCCAGAGGCCCTTCCCGTGAGCTGTGGTTCCCTATAGAACCTGAGCCATCCAGCGCTGACCGAAGTGCTTTCCCACTGCCTTTCACTGAGACTCTTCTCTGTGACTGCAGATAAATTTTGTCTTGCTCTCCTTGTCCATAAAAAACAACTCCCAGCCTGACCTACCACACACTAAGAGTTCCCCTTTGTCAGGAAATACACTTCTGGGTCCTTGATTTGGGCTGATGGTCTTTCTTCTATTAATTCTATGGTATTTCTTCTATTCCATTCAAAATTTCTCTTACTAGCTGAAATTCCTTTTAACTGATCTGATAGTTCTTCCACAGTGATAATTTTAAAATTTAACACCAACAATGGTGTCATATGATCACAAGGCCAGGTACACAGCTGAATGATAAACTGGCTTCTAAGAGAAAAGTTGGCTGAAGAGAAGAACCTCTTGATTATTGGACTTGTGATCTCTTATATACATTTAAGTTGTTCACATAAACAAAAGTCTTTGTACTTTAAAGTTTCAACCTGTCTGGTTAAGAGTTCTGTTTTTCTGCTGATAAACTACTGGTAAGACTACACTTAATCAATGTTTCAGTGATTATTTAAGAGTTAGAGGAATTCTATCAAGAACTGACACACAATCATTAGTTCCTTAATTGAACTTTTTAGGAACAGAGATGACTGATCAAATTTCAGCGCTTGAAAGCTCTGTTCAAACTTGGTACCTTCATAAGAACCATACTATCTTCCTCTACTTTGAGGGAGGGAAATCAGTTATTGCTTTATTTGAACCCTTGATAATTCAAGACAGCCTAAAAATATGGACTGAAATATAGACAAGGCATATTCCAGTGCTTTTTATTCATGAATTTCTGAGAAAACATTAGATATTAGGTTGCTGGTAGAATTATTGATTGAAGCCTTCACCTCACCTGCAAATATTTCTTAAGTCAAGTGGACTACAAAAGAATCTTTGCAGACCTCTTTTAGTTACAGGGTCTGTTACTTCTTTCTGGCAGTGCCCTATGTATTACTTCCATTGTCCTGGGAATCAAAGCCACTACACCAACCTGGAAGTCTCAGGAAAATAGCAAAATCATCATCCAGTGCAAATAGCAGCTTTGGCTCCAAGATCATAAAACATACTTGAAAACAATGTACAATGGCTTGTAATGGATCAAAATTCTCCCCTTATACTTCTGCCTCAATAAAATAGTGTACTTTAGTCTGACTTTGCTAACTTTTTGATGAGTCTTAACAATTTTTAAGTGGACTAATACCCTTTGAAAAGAAGAAGGCATTTCTTTAATAATAATACATGCTTTCAACCATTGATAAGTCTTCTGGGGAAAAAAAACTACTTTAAATGAACAAGGAGTGGTCAAATTTCATTTAGGTTACTGTCAGAATTGGTTTTCTTTAGATATTAGAAACAAATAAAGCTATTTAAAGATCATTTTAACATTTGGAAGATTTTTTTCTCCTAATCGTTGTCTTAAGAAAGCTATTTATTCCAGGTCTCTAACTGATCCTTAAGTTACTACGCAGTTTTCCAGTTACTTACAAGAGATCGGGAGCTCTGCTTGGAGGGTGGCAAAAACTGTCTTACATTAGTGGGTGTTTCCTTTTCAATGGAATGTCGTCTCTGGGGTGGCTGCCGTCTCTCTGGCTGGGGTGTTGATGATATGGGCAAGAATTTCGGAGGCTCTAAAGAAATGAAATTAACCAAACTGAAATGAACTTTGTTACAAGTAAAAAGTCTTAGATTTTCAATTTCTGACAGAACACCCTTTGTCATTTGTCACAAACATTGCATTCAAAGATGAAATATTTGTTAGAGGGTTTTAGTAAGATTAGAAGTTCTTATGGGGATACTATGAGGACTGTTATAGAAAAATCTTTGCAAGATGAACTTTCCTACAGATATAGAAAGAAAAAAGAAAAATATTTGTATTTTTAATATTCATTCAAATATATCATAAAAACACAATTATAGTCTTAGATTTGTACATACAAATGCCTTCACATTATATACAACAAAATTTTACAGTCTCAGGCATGTAAAATACGTAAAAACATGTATTCTCCGTGTGTCCAAAAAAGGCTACCAAATCATACCAAAATTCTCAAGTGTAGTGACCTTTTATATTCTTCTTTTTAAAGGTAAAATATAAAAACTCTTCCTTTTTAAATATTTATCAAGACATTCTGTCCTTAGATTTAAATCAAGCTCTATTTAAATTTGAAAAAATAAATTCCAGTTTTGATAATATTGTGCCACTGCTCTCCTTCATCTAGTAATATTTTGGGACAGAGTTTAAAAGGAGAAGGTTTGAGGGGTGCCTTAGTATGTAGAGCACACAACTCTTGATCTCGGGGTTGTGAGTTCGGGCCCCATGTTGGGTGTAAAGATTACTTAAAAAATAAAATTTTCTAAAAAAAAAGTTTATAAAAGGAGAATATTTTATGGTTTGAATGGTTCTGGATTTACATTCTGAAAACATAAGGAGAACATTAGAAATAAATTATATTACTTAAAGTTTTATTTAATACTTCCTCCTACTCTCTCTGAAAAGTAAGCCTGCTTCATTCAATGTAGCAGGTGAGGAAAGTGAAAGTCAACACCAAGTTAAACGTGATCCATCTATTTGGACTACCCCACCAACAGAAATCACTAAATAAAAATAACACGATTTCCATAATCAAGAAAGATACAGAAATCCATTGTGTGATTTAATTGAATCTCTATAATATTTAATGGGCCTGGACAAACACCAAGTATAGATAATGACCAAGGTCAGCTCCTACTATTCTTGATACAATCTAAGTAAATCAAAATACTAATCAAAGAATTTTAATCACTAAAAATTCCACGTGTACAGGAAATCAGTAAGTTGTTTTTTTAAATTGCAGTAAAACATACATAAATTATATTTAGTGTGTCTTAACTATTTTTAACTGCACAGTTCAGTGGTATTAAATATTTACACTGTTGTGCAACTGTTATGTTCCATCTTGTAACGGTTAAGACCATAACTCTTCATCTTGTAAACTGAAACTCTACAACTTCCTATTCTCCACTACCTACAGCCCCTCACAACTACCATCCTACTTTCCATCTCTATGATTTTGACCGCTCTAAAAATCTCATATAAATGGAATTATACAGTATTATGTCCTAAAAGTTTGTCAGTATTGTAGCCTATTGCAGAATTTCCCCCATTTTTAAAAATGTTTTATTTATTTTTGAGAGAGAGCGAGCAAGCAAGCGTCTGAGTGGGGGAGGGGCTGAGAGAGAGAGGGAGACACACAATTTGAAGCAGGCTCCAGGTTCTGAGCTGTCAGCACAGAGTCCAATGTAGGGCTCAAACTCACAAACCGCGAGATCATGACCTGAGCTGAAGTCGGATATTTAACCGACTGAGCCACCCAGGTGCCCCAGAATTTTCCTCAATTTTAAGGCTGAGTAATATATCATTGTGTGGATATTCCACATTTTGCCTAGCCATTCATCCACTGACGGACACTGGGGTTGCTTTCACATTTTAGCTATTGTGAATACTGCTATGAACATGAATGTACAAATATCTCTTTGAGATTCTGCTTTCAATTTTTTTTTTTCTGTTTCGATTCTTTTGCTTATATAGTCAGAAGCAGAATTGCTGGATCATATGTAATTCTATTTTTAAGTTTCTGAGGAGTCACCATACTGTTTTCCACAACACCTGTACCATTTCACATTCCCAACAGTGCACATGGTTCCAATTTCTCTACATTCTTGCCAACACTTGTCTTCTGGTTTTTGTTTTGATAGCAGCCATTTTAATGGGTGGGAGGTGGCATCTCACTATAGTTTTGATTTGTATTTCCCTAATGATTAATGATGCTGAGAATCTTTTCATGCACTTGTTGGTCATTAGTGTATCTTCTTCGGAGAAATGTCCATTTGAGTCCTTTGCCTATTTTTTAATTAGGTTCTCTTTTCTGTTGTTGAGTTTCAAGACTTTCTCTATATATTCTGAATATTAATCCTTTATTAGAGATATGATCTGCAAATATTTTCTCCTATCCTGCATGCTGCCCTTTTATTTCATTGATAATGTCTTTTTATGCATAAAAGTTTTTTAAATTTCATAAATTCCAGTTTGTCTATTTTTACAAATAGACAATTTTTTGTCTATATTTACAAATAGACAATTTTTTTGTCTATCCTTGGGGTCATAGCCAAGAAACCATTGCCAAATCCAATGTCATGAAGTTTTTGTCCTATGTTTTCTTCTAAGAGTTTTATTATTTTAGGTCTTACATTTAGGTTCTTAATCCATTTTGAGTTAATTTTTGTATATGGTGTTAGGTGAGGGTATAACTTCCTTTTTGCATGTGGATATACAGTTCTCCCAGGACCATTTGCTGAAAGACTTCCCATTGAATTGTCTTGGCACACTTGTCAAAAATCTTTTGACCATATAGGTGAGGCTTTATTCTGGGCTCTCTATTCTATTTTGTTGATTTATATGTCTGCCTTTATGCTAATACCTCATTGCGTTGATTACTATAGTTTCTAGGTTTTTTTTCTTCAATATATGAAATTTATTGTCAAATTGGTTTCCATACAACACCCAGTGATCATCCCAAAAGGTGCCCTCCTCAATACCCATCACCCACCCTCCCCTCCCTCCCACCCCCCATCAACCCTTAATTTGTTCTCAGTTTTTAAGAGTCTCTTATGCTTTGGCTCTCTCCCAC